GGTTTAGCACCGTAACTGGCCAGTAATTTGAGATTACCGAAGGCCTGCTTAACAGTAATACAGAGCACAGGGGCTGGCGGAAGCCAATACAGTAATTAAACAATATCCAATGAGCTGTGACAGTCTGTATGCAAAAAGACTTTTCATTCAAATATATACAGTCGAACAAAACAGTATGTACATATATACAATCATTCAGTTCGGGGACCTAATCCCTATCAAACAGTACAATACCGCAAACAAAACAGTTATAGAGACAGAAGGGGGAACTAAAACACCCCTAAGCCATAACTTGGCAGGCTCGGAACCTCGCAAGGAAGCACAGTGGTTGGCTTGACAAAACAGAAGTTTACCCTGACGCTTCTAGCTGCGGTCTGGTGCATGTACACCTACATATATATATATATATATATAAGCAGTGAGCTAAAGCCCAGTGAATAACACAATGCGTAAAGGGGTTAAGAATGAATGTCCTTACAGTAATGAAAACAATTCGTTAATTCAGTATGTCAGTCATTCAGTCATATGTGGTACATCCATTAGCATAACAGTACAGTAAACAGGAGGTCTTAAAAGACCGAACAGTAAATGATGGCCGCCATCAATCAGTAACAGTAGTGGTTCCAACGAGGGAACCGACAGAGATTTCTGTAACAGTAACAGTAAACAGTAGGTGCTAAGGATGCCACAATACAGTTCAGAATATAGGACATACATTCATTCAGTTAACAGTAATCAGTTCGGAAAGCAGTACAGTTCAGTTGTTCAGAAGATAATCATTTTGAACATATCTTTACACAGTTGTTACTCACAGAGTTCTAGGCTATAGTAAGGCTAGAGCGCGTCCCCAGTCGCCAACCCTACACAGTTACAGATTGAACACACACTAAGCTACACAGTTGGGAAAGATAACAACTTAATCCCTAATTTGCCTCTGTGTGGTTCTACATCTATATCCTCATTAAGATGTCTTAAACTAGGCCTAAGAATGCCTAGAATGAGATGAGGATGCAAAGATGCACTTTAAAAGCATTTTCAGAAAACAGGGGTCACGCTCAAGCGTAGATTACTCCGCTCGAGTGGACATGCAGACAAAGGTTTTCGCTCGAGCGTAGACTTACCCGCTCGAGCGTTCTGCAAAATGGTCAAAAGTGCTGGATAGGTGAAAATCACGCTCGATTGGGTGCTCGACACCCGCTCGAGCGGACTGCAAAACAGAACAAAATGTTGGGAGCACGATTTCCATGTTCGAGCGCCAGTCACCCCGCTCGAGCATGAGTCCAAATTCTGGAAATTTCAGATTTGAACCTCAAGCTCAAAACCAAGTTTTAAACCATAAATTTCGATCCTCTTGGGCCGATTTTCCAGAAAACATCCCAAAACTCATAGTTTAACATGATTCAAAGCTCAATTTGTAAAATCAAAGCCCAAGGGTGTTTCAAATAAATCCAATTCAAACCAGTTTCCATGAATATGAGGAACATGCAAACATGCATGAATCTAACCAATTCAAAGCTTTAAATACAAGCTCAAATGAGCTAACTCTTACAAAAACAAGATGAAAACATGGACTTGACATAACCATGAGCATGCATGTGACAATTCTCCATGGAATCAACTCAAAATTCAATAGTATAGGCATGCATGCAATAATTAAGCTTCAATTCAACACTTGAACCAATTCGTGACTTAACCCTTCGATTAGACATGAACCATGCAAGAATCAACTTAAACACAATAATGAGGGGTTGAATTTCCTTACCTAGGTCTTCAATTACAAGAGTAGAAGTTCAATTAGGCAAATCTCCTACAAATTCTCCAGGTCTCCAAGCTAGACTCTCACTTGAACTCAATTCCCTCACTCTCATTCTCTAGGTCGGTTCTGAGGCAAGAAATGGGGGAAGAAATGTTTTGTTTACATGTATACAAGCCTCCAAGTATGTTGCCTAAGTGATCCACTAGGGATGGCAAGGTTGTAATTAAGCCAACTATTGCAATTCAACTCATTTTAATCCAATTTAATCATACCAAATCATCCTTTTAATTAAATACTATAAAATCCTATAAATTCTAACTAACACAGAACATTAATCGATTCCTGGTTCGGCCGCCGATAAGGCCTTCAATTTGCAGTTTAAACACAAAAATATGAACAGATAGTCAAATAGTCAAACGGATAGGAATGCATTTAAACAGATACAGTTAATCGATCAGTTTCAGATTTCAGTCGGTCAGTTCAGTATTTCAATCAGTTCCATTACTTATCATAATCAGTCTCAGTTTAGTAGTAATCGGTAGTTAATCGGTAAACAGTGACGAGAGTTGTTACAGTTAAGTCCTTGGCAGAGGCATACCATCAGCATCTAAAAGTTGGTTTCCATATAGGGTGAACTAAAGACCCAGTAGAGAATACTTGAACATATTGTATGATGTTTAACAAAGTCATATGGTGAATGCATATGCATAGCATTTACCAAAACATTACACTTTCTCTTTCAAAACAATGCAATGCCATGATTATAAATCAATTTGTAAAACAATACTTTTTAAATCAGAAAACAGGGCAGTGGATACACAACACTGGGAATCTTTAGGTACGTGTTTGCCAGTAGGCTATACAAGCACTACCAAAGCCATTTTATTGATACTAACCGGAAGGATCGGTACCGACTTTCATCAAAGACACACAGGCCAACATAGATAATATCACAACCATACTCCCTAACCAGATTCACCAAGGTATTTATCCATTTTTCTCAAAACGATACATTTTCAATGTATAAATATGAAATAATGTTCAATGCAAGATGTATAAGTAGTTGGTTTCAATAAACCTAATTCTCATGCAATGTCTACAACAATCAAAGTTATCATTTACCGATAACCCAAAATAGATATCTCTATACAAAAGATAAATCTCCAACAAAAATTATAATTTCATAATCTCAATATAGGAGTGACAATACATATCCAACTGCATTCTCTTCATCAAAAGATATATTCATTTTATCATTTCAAAAACTCAACAGCCTTTCCTTTTTCCTTAGTTCAAACCAATGATTTCCAATATTTCCAACAAAATATCTATTCTTTCCCAAAACACATTTAAATGAGAGATGTTCAATATTTCAACATAACTCAACAATATACTTATTTTCACAACATTTCCCATAAATCCATTTGAAAACCCTCATTTTATATTTCCAAAACCAAACCCTAAATCAAACTCACAACTCCCAAATAACAGTACTTTTCAAAGAATACATAACGAGGTTAAGAATCATACAAGAAGATTAAAGAAATCCCTACCTCAAGAGTACAAGACCCAACTTTTGATGGAGCCGAAAACGAAAACCTCTCTGATTAAACTGTTCACCTTTACGAGATCTACAATCTACACTTTTCTCCAAAACACTGTGGTGACAAGACCAACAGTTTTAAGTATGGAGGCGTTGAGACAAGAACTAGAGAGAAAGTGAAGAAATTTGGTAAAGTTAACTTTTAGAGAGAGAGAGAGAGAGAGAGGTCAAAAAGTGATTGAAAAGATCTTTTTCTCATATTGATATACGCAAAGATTGCACGAGCGGCCAAAACACCGCTCAAGCATAAGAAACAAAGAATCGCTTGAGTGACCAACTCAAGGCTCGAGCGCACAATGACTCCTCCCAGTGGTCCTGAGCTGCAAGAGACCGCTCGAGCGAAAGAAAGACCCCTCAAGTGTCAGACACAGAATACCACTTGAGTGACCAACCCATGGCTCAAGCGAAGAACACTCTGCTCCCAGAAGTTCAGACTGTAAACACAGATACTGGAAGGAACCAAAGACCACTTGAGCAAAGGAAAGACCGCTTGAGCAAACCTAAGAAGAAACAGACAGAACTCTTTTGAAAAACTAACTCTCAAACTGTTCAAAACACAACTAACAACTCCAAATGACCAATCCCACACTACAACGAGACAATAAGGAGTATAAACAACAACCATGAGAACCGGATCCAGGACTAAAAAATACAAAAGGGTCGCGTTTCAATCTGAGTCACTATATAAAGCTTGTATGGTTTTGGGTTTTCATAACATGTATTTCTAAACTCTTTTCAAACCCAAGTTTTGAAACTCAAAACTTGTTTGGTTCAGGTTTTCACAAATAACTTTCAGAACCCAGGCAATTTTGTTTGGTTTTCAAGTATTGGCTGAATAAGTTTTTATGTTTTAGATGTATATGATCTAGATATACTTAAACAGTAAACAAAATATGCAGAAATGAAAAGTAAATTTAATAAATACATAAAACATTAAAATTGTATTAGTTTTTAATTGGGTATTTTTGTGTGTGTGTGTGTGTGTGTGTATTTGACATTATTCAATAATTTTATGAAAGTTTTTCATAAATGTGAAATGCTTTAAGTGTATATAGATTGAGTAAATATAAAATCAGAAAAGAAGTGTTAAAATTTTTAAAACGTTCATAAAAAATAAAATATACAAAGTGAAAGTATGCCGTATAGATTAGATTAGATAAATCTAAAAAGTACATTTAAATTATGTATATGAAAGAAGTGAACAAATTTCACTATAATATTGCAAAAACGTTTTGACTAGAATGTGAAAAAACAAATGACCCAAACAAACTCAAAAACTAGTTTTGAAAACTCATAACCAAACAAGTTTTGAATTCAATTTTCTAAAAACTATTTTCAAAATATGCAACCAAACAAATTTTCAATTTTTAAAGTTCTTTTCAAAAACCCAAAACCCAAAACTGATTTCAAAACTAAAGCAAAAGCAGCAACATTTTGAAATGATAATGTGATTAACATTGGCACTATGAATGTCCTGAGTTCTACTGCTAATACAAGCACTTGGTGAGCTATCAATTTGACATCCTCATCATCAATTGCTAATATGCTATATTAGTACAAGTATTCATTTACTTGCAAGTACTTTAAACTTTGCACATGATGATTGATTACTAATATATTCTTATCTGTTGCAATTTACAGAACAGCCAGAGCTGTTATATACAAGTCAACAACTGTTAACATGACTGCCCCTTTTGTGGCTTCTTTCTCCTCCAGAGGACCCCAGTCTATCACTCCCAACATCCTCAAGGTAACAACTCCCTCTCTCTCTCTCTCTCTCTCATATATATAAGGTAGTAATTAAGTTTTGGTGGGCAGCCTGATATAACTGCACCGGGGCTGAGCATATTGGCTGCATATTCAGAGTTGGCATCTATGACGGGAAACCGAGATGACAATCGGTTTGTGAAATTCAACATAATATCTGGAACATCAATGGCTTGCCCTCATGCTGCAGGCGCTGCTGCCTATGTCAAGTCCTTCCATCCAGACTGGTCGCCTGCTGCAATCAAGTCTTCTCTTATGACCACCGGTAATACTTAAAAAATCCAAGAATTTGTGCATAACTATACTTGATTTGATTCTAACTTATGCGGCTGATGGCAAAATTGTGATCATCATGAGCACCCAATCACTGTTTTGGCTGATACAGGCTTGACGCCAGGTCTACTTATCCCCTGTTTGTTGCAGTTTAATTATTCTAAGCTGATAATCTATATGCAAGAAATCCAAAAGTTCTCCAGTTTCATGATCATCAGTTTTTTCCAAACTTATTTAAGTTATTTTTACCTTATGAAGCATGGAACTCCGAAAACATTGTCGTACCCGTACAACTACTCATATCGATATAGTAGCATGAGTATCAGGTACACAAAATACATATCTGGTACTTGAAATACGGGATAGGTATGTTTCGGATACTTTTGTGGGTGCTTTAGAACATAAATGTCAATTTTTTAAAATATATGAGTACTGGAAAAATTATAGTGCCTATTTTTAAAAACTTCAAAAGAAATAGGGTATTGTGGCAATTATAAAAAAATAGGGTTCTTTTTCTAATCATTAATAATACTTTCATTTTTTTTTTTTTTTTACATTTAAATTTTTAATTTTAATGTTATGTACTACAACAAATAATATAAATATATTTATAAATGGATGTACTAAACTGTACCCGTATCTTTCTTTTCTCTTCTTTTTTTTTATAAATTTCGCCATATCAATGTACACATGATGTACCCATACATACACCTGTGCTTCGAATTTTTTACTGTATAAGTTGTAAGCAGAAGCTTATAGTCACAAAATCACCACCAAAAATAAATAAACATTTAAACATCATCAAACAGTACCACCCCCATGTTTTTGCTTTCAATTTTGATAATCTCATAATCTGTACGATAATGCACCCATCCTATAATCATTTTTCTGCCATTTTACTTCAGCAAAAAGAATGAAGATCAAGCAGCAGGGTGGTGCGCTAGGCTCTGGCTCAGGCCAAATAAATCCAACAAGAGCAATACATCCAGGCCTCGTGTATGACATTCAGATGAGTTCCTACCTTAGTTTCCTCTGCAGGGAAAAGGTTACAACAGCAGCACCATCCGCCTCCTCACTGGTGGCAAGAAGCTATACAACTGCTCCAGCTTCAAGCCTGCCCAAGGAACCGATGGCCTCAACTATCCCTCCATGCATACCCAAGTTGCAAGCGGTAATTCCAGCGTTTCAGCAGTATTTTATCGGACAGTGACTAATGTAGGATATGGCAATTCAGTCTACGTAGCGAAAGTGAAGTCGTCTAAAGGTCTTGATGTTACAGTTGTCCCCAAAACTTTGTCGTTTAAGCGGCTGCATCAGAAGAAATCGTTCAAGGTTGTGTTGAAAGGAAAATTTATGAACGATAGGGCTTGGATCTTGTCAGCAGTGTTAGAATGGAGTGATTCTAAGCACACGGTTAGGAGTCCTATCCTTGTGTGTCGGTCAACAACATTTTAGCATAATTTAGGTTTAGGGTCATGCTTGCTATATACACACATTGAACTGATGGCCTCAACTATCCCTCCATGCATACCCAAGTTGCAAGCGGTAATTCCAGCATTTCAGCAGTATTTTATCGGACAGTGACTAATGTAGGATATGGCAATTCAGTCTACGTAGCGAAAGTGAAGTCGCCTAAAGGTCTTGATGTTACAGTTGTCCCCAAAACTTTGTCGTTTAAGCGGCTGCATCAGAAGAAATCGTTCAAGGTTGTGTTGAAAGGAAGATTTATGAACGATAGGGCTTGGATCTTGTCAGCAGTGTTAGAATGGAGTGATTCTAAGCACACGGTTAGGAGTCCTATCCTTGTGTGTCGATCAACAACATTTTAGCATAATTTAGGTTTAGGGTCATGCTTGCTATATACACACATTGCCCAAACATGGCTTTGTGTTTGTTTTCACTTATTTCCTGTTCTTTGTTTCTTGTAATTATAGGATTAATAATAGTTGAGAAATTTGGATTCTTTTCAGACTATGTAAGCAGTACAATTCAAAAAAAAAAAAAAAAAAAAAAAAAAAAAAAACTCTAGGCATTGATTGACAAACGGCTAGAAAAAGTGTAGTGAAAATTCAAAAAATGTGATGATAATTTTTTGCACTTGATAGACATTCCACTGATCCCAACATCTGTTAATATAAAGCAAATATGGGTCATCAAACTTTGTTTGTCTATGAATCGCCAGAATCGTTGAGCAATGTACACAGACCCATAAGCTATTTTCCTTTTCGACTCCCTACCACACAACAAAGACATGATTGAGACTACATTCGTCAAAATGACTTCTTTCGGATCTAATCGTGGTAGTGACTCATTTAGATTTTTGGTGTCAAGAAAAACAACATCCAACTGCAATTAACATTTTAACAACAAATAATATCTTCTCCAAGTCCTTGAATTACACAACACACAATCTATCTGTGCTTCCAGAAAATGGAATCTGAATGTGTTTGGTTTGAGTTTTTTGAATTAAATTTTTTGAAAATTAAGTTTTTTAATTTTCGTGTTATTTTGTTTTTAGTGAATATTTTTTAAATTTTAAATATTTTTTTTTATTTTTTAGATGCACCTTACTTAGATGTATCTAAAAAGTAAAAAATTTGTAAAAAAACATTTTAAAAAAATTAATAAATACATAAAAATACAAAAAATGTACTTAATTATCGTATTTTTTTTTGTATTTTGGGTATTTAGTGAATTTTTAAAAGGTTTTCTTCACAAATTTTTTATTTTTTAGATACATCTAAGTTAGGTATGTCTAAAAATTAAAAAAAATTGCTTAAAATACTAAAAAAAATCAATAAAAACAAAAAAAAACACGAAAAATAAGAAAGTAGAATTTTCTGAAAAGTGTTTTTTTGAAAAGTGAAACCAAGCATAGTAGGATTTCCAGATCTGTAAATGAATTTTATTTCTGAACAAGCAGAGAATTACACTCTTCCTATCTTATTTATAGCCTGCACAGTTCAAGAACCGTTTCCTGCTCAAGACTAACTAACAATTTGACTAACTTTTAACTGAAACTTTGAACTTGTTACCTACTTTTTATTTCAATTCATCATAGGCTCTCCTCAGCTATACTTCTAGTTCATTTACATCAACTAAAAGCCTCTAATCAAGAAGTATTAAAAGTTGGAGGGGAAGAAATACAGATTTAGACACTGGAGATCGAATGGCCATTATAGAGATCTGGTGCAGGGCAAGCTGTAGGTGATGCAAGACCAGACATCTGCCTATAGCATGATGGCGGTGGAGTTGTTGGGGAGAGGTTGACAAACTCAAGGGCCTGTACTCTCAATTCTACAGGGTAGTCAGCAACACAACCAATTCTCGGACCAGCGCCAGTTGACCACTTCCGTGAGAGTTGACGACCAAGTTGATATGAACTGACCGCCTTCTTGGAATTAATTCTTTCCAATATAGCTTTCTTGGGCACCTCAGCTCTTGGGCTATGAAGACCACCAGATAGTGTCCTCCTGTAATTGCTTTTGGTTTCAGTTTCTGGAGCTTCAGTCAGTTCTAAGGTCATATCTTTTTCCTCTTCCTTCGGAATATGAAGTTGAGGGGATTCTGAATTTGTTGAAAGTTCAGCTGCAATTTCTTCTCTATTGAATTTGCTCTCTTCAAAATTTTCATAATCCTCATTTGCCTTGCATATCTGAAAACAAGAGATCAAACGAAAATTTACCATCAGACAAGTTGTGGCAAAAAGGAAAATATATGGATATCCGAGTTAGATAAGTACCCAGAATGTGCATGTCAGCAAGGTAGGCATACTAAAATTATCTTTATTCAATCGTCTTCAGATATGGTCACTGACATGTACTTTCTTGGTACTTCTTTGAAGTTTAATTATGTGTATGTAGACTTATAGATAACAACAAAGCTCTACAAACTAAATATGCCGATTGCCATGAAAGGCAGGAGGAAGCTACATGGCAGCTGAAAGTATACCAACAGTCAAGGGTATGTCCAGGTGTCATATAACCAACTCGGGGCTCATATGAAATCTGATGTGTAACCAGCTTGCCTCTTGAAGTTAACCTCCAAACTTTTTTTGAGGATTCAAAACAAGTTTGTGCTGCACAGGCAAGAAGTTGCACCTTACAACCACCTCCCTTGCAGGAAGTTTAACACACTAATCAACAGATCTACAAGAGTAAAATGACACAGTAGAAAAGAATATCACATACTTCAATTTCATCAAGGTTCACTCCATTTTCATTAAGAAATGACAAAAAGTTGTCAAGGCTGTCATCAGTTGGCCGGTAATGTCCACTGTATGGCGATATAGACTGAAAAAATAAATTAAAAAAATGTCACAGATCCTATGCTAGGGAATATCTATCAGTCAACTGTGATACTTCATTTAGATGTATGCACATGTGCCCGTATACATATGTTTTGCTGAATAGAAAATATTGTCTGTTCACCAGAGACAGGGTATCAAAACCTCTACAGAAAGTTGAATCATCTAATGTGTTTTACATATCAGTTAAAACAAGTCATAAAATAAGAGCACTTCCAAGATTGTAGAGAGAAACCTAAGTTCCATGAGCAAACCATTCTAATATTTTACACAAACCAGCTCTTCCTGACATGATTTGCAGATCACAATGAGATACATTTTGTTTCTATAGACATTAAAAAAAAAAGAAAAAAGGGAAACTCCATCCAGTCTCCTCTTTTTCAAGGGTTGTTTCAAGCTACTCTTGACCCTACTATTGACCAGCAAAAAAAATCAGTTAGATACTTGAGCAGCTGCCAGTAGGAATTGACATGCACATATATGAATGGGTAGTAGACTAGTACTTCATTCATTTGCCAGACTATGCACATTTGACTTGAATTAGAGCTTTACTGATTACAGTAACTAACAAAGGCAATAGATTCCTGTTATGCTAAAATTGGAAGTTCTAAAATGCACATGTTGTGACTCATCATATATGATGAAATAATTTGTTCAACAGGGCAATGCCCAAATCCAAAAGACTGAAATACAATAATTGATCTTCATTTTCATCTGCTAGAGAAAATCGTTAAAAGCAGTTACAATCAGTCAACAGACAGGTGTGAAGATTTTCCATGAAATTGACAATAGTTGAATTATTTTTACAAGAATTTAGCAAGGATTTTCAAAATCATGTCATAATTGTACAACCATGAAAGGATCCATGAAAAAACTGATGTTGAACTTGGGTGTTTTCAGAAAAGCATAAACTACTGTAACTCAAATTTTGAGAATCATGGCTGGGAAAATTGAGAGTCAGAAATCAATTAGAATCAAATAACAAAGAGACGGAAAACACACACAAATAAGTTTCAACATGCACAATGAAAAATATTATTACCTTAAGTGTTCCATCCTCTACCTCAAGCCTTCCAGCAGCTAAAGTAGCCCCTCCAGAAAGGAAGCTGGAATGGTGAAACAGACCTTTCTTTTTCTGAAAGTAAAAAAATATAAAAAATTAGGCTTCAAACCACAACGAAAGCATAGAAAATAGAAGAAAACTGGCAAACCAATTATTATGTTGTTTATTTTAGGTCTCACCTGACCAGCATAAAGTCTCTTGGAGGTGCTCACCACAAATATCCATTTTGCCCGTGGCATTCCCTTGATTGTATCGAGAAAATTTCCACTTTGTTTGTGCACTATTTTCCCCTCCACAACAATATATTCATATTGCTCTCTCTCTAGCTGATTTTTCAGAAAAAATCAACCACATTAAAAGAAAAGCAGTAGTACATTAGTATGAAATGAGTTGGAGCTAACAGCCATACAGTTTCAAATAATGCAATCAGAAATACAATTTTCATAGGAGCTCCAGCAACAACTGAAAAATGAGAGCACATACAGGTCCAAGATATTTGATGCATAGTTGCCGAAGCATTGATCTTGGGCAATCTTTAAGTTCAACTTCTTGGCCATCTCCAATATCTAGCCTGCAATAAGTAGAAATAAGAAGGTTTTCAGCATCTGATTTATTTGACAGTACAATTTTACTTTACAATCTATGCAGCGTCAGAGCTTTAAAGGAGAGAAAAACATAACTAATAGAACTTAACAATATTATTTTATTTTATTTTTCAATTTTGTCACTGCATTGGAGATTCCATTTTGCATTTCATTCTTATTAACCCCAGAGTTATCTACTTTGTTATTATCACTACATGTTTCCGGAACGTGGCATAGGATCTTATACAAGCAAACTTGTTACGTATTGTCCTACCTTACTTCAATGAGCTTGTTATTGCATCAACTGGAAAAAGTAGATAAATTATTTGATTTAAATTCATCATTTCTTATAGGGAATTACTTGCAAAATAAAATGATGAAAGAGTTTGTTACCTAAGAAAGAAAATATGTTTTGTGACATCGACAAGTTATAGACAGCATAGAGACAATGTCATTTGTGCTGCATATTCACTACTACACTGAAGCAAAATGCTTGTTATACCAAATTTGTTTGCCTGAATTTGTTTCATAGTAGGGTCAATCTTGCCATTGGAAAGTTTGGTTTTTGTTTTTTAAATTAAAGGCATACAATTATCAACATCACCTCACAAATTAATGGGTGACTCTGTTTAGGCATCCCTGCTATCACTACAGTACACAAACTAGGTTTGTTGATGATTACAAATTAAGCAGTCAATTATAATCGTGAAGCAAGTGCAATGATAGAATCTCAAATCCTGCTCAAGATTAGGACACTTGGGCCATCTTAGCTTTCTAACACTTCAGTTTTTACCATCTTACACTTACAAAAACATCAATTTTTGTTTGGGTATAGATGTATCTCTTTACTCTGAAATATTTGTTGGGGTCAAAGCCTAGAGGCTTAGGCAAAAATGGAAAAGACGGTGGGGAAGCAGTAACTGACCAGTGCCAACTGCGGCTCGCACTCCTGCAAAGGCAATTAACTATTGCACATGCCCCTCATTCGCCACTATCATTATTAAAAATGCCTAAGACCCCTAACTTGACCCCAATGATGGGGACTGTTGCATGTGAGTTGTTGATTTGTTTAGGAATCAGCCAACTAAGACTCAACCCCCTGCCACATCAGTGTGGGTACATTTAGGAATTATATTTTTGAAGTTTCTAGCATTATTCTATGATTATAAGATAAGGTAGAAGCACCAATTAGTCCTTGATCAGGCCTCACAGGAGGGTCAGAATCAAATCATGAATGATTTTCTTTTAAAATATAAAATAAAAACCATTATATCTCGAAGAAATTAGGAATTTATAAAAATAAAAAAAAACAAAAACATTTCAAATGCAAAATTAGAATAAAACTGATCACTAAAAGAAAAATTCTCCTACCAGTAGAAGAACGGCTGACCAGCATCTGTTTTACACCACTCTTCATAATATATATGCAAGCAATGCCCATAACGGTGCCTTGGATCAATCTACAATTCACAGAGTAAAACAAACATTTTAACGGCTACTTCGTAAGATGGTAAACTATTCTCTAGGCAGATATATGAATCAGAAAAAACAATACTATAAATTAGTATAAGGTAATGGAAAAGGGCAACAACATAAAAGAAGGGCACAAGGCAAAGGATTAGGAAAACTTACAGCTTCAATCCAGTGCTGGAAAGCCAATTTTTGTGCTTTGGCATCCTTAGACAAACCTTTACCCACCTGCCCATAACAAGTCATTATCACTCACTTGTGTGGGAAAAAAGAAGCAGTGAAACCTACAACAGGTACTGAGTCAAAAAAAGAACTCCACTATTAGGGCATCTCCAATCCTTACCCTTCACCCATATCAAATTTAAATTCGAGTAAAAATGCTTAAAATCTCTCTCCACTCAAAACTCATATCAAAATGAATTTTGCTCAAATTTTAACCCAAATCAAGGGAGACACTTTTTTTTACTCAAATTTTTAAAGACAATTTGGAGTGATATAATAATAGCTTCTAAATTTACAATTGTGCCACTTATCAAATTTTTACTCAAATATGAGTTTGGCCATTGGATTACTAGTGTATAATGAAATGATATTTTTCCTCAAATTGGACTGGAGATGGCTTTATAATTTCTGTTGTTTTAATTTTTTAAGCACAAGACAAGAAGATGAAACCTTAGAAGCATTCAATCTGATTCGATTCCACCGCGAAGCTACCGTCTCTGGTTTTGAAAAATTGAAGAAGGAAATCGTACTGCGATTCAATCTAGCATAGTCGATTGCTTGCCACCTTCATAATAATCATCTCTAAATTAAAGCATTCGCATGTATGTGTGTATGTACGTATGTATAGTAATAGTAAATGGTGTAATTAGTGTATGTAATGAAGAAAAACAGAGAGGGTTGAATTGAAGAGGGGGTGTACCAACCAGAGCTCTTCGGCTACAACAGCGGAATCGGCTAACATACGCCTGGTGCGGTAGCTCCGATAAACCTTCTGCACCCACATGGCGGCAGCACTCGACTCGGTATTATTCGGCACTTCACCGGCGCCACTCACATCACCATTGTTTGTCATTCCGGCCGCCGCCGCCGGAGAGTCGAAACCTCTGCTTAGGACAGTCGGCGGAGATAGTTGTTGGGAAGCAGCGTGGGAGCAAATCTTGATGGAATTGTAAGAGAATGGTGGTTTGGAATTGAGATCCAAGTTCGAAAGGCTTTGAGTATCGATGATCTCCATTACTCAAACAAACCCTACAAATTCACCAACACGCACACACACACATATATATATATACAGAGAGAGAGAGAGAGAGAAGTGTTGGTCGTGGTGGTGGAGCTTCAGAAGAGTTGCTTAGAACTTCATTGGCAATGCTTGAAGAAGAACACTGGTTTTGGTCGTTGTGGTCGTTGTCTGACTTCTAATAAGAGGCTCTGTTTGCCTCTTGTTTGGTCAAAATAACCGCGTGGGCGTTAAGAACTATTTTTTTATTGGGGGTGATGGGGAGGATTGGGTTAAAATTATGATAAAATAAATTAAAATAATTGATAATATAAAATGTTATATTTAATTGTCATTATTTTTTTTTATAATTATCAAATTAGTTATAAAAAAAAATTCTAAGCAATTTTTTAAACATAACTATTTAATCAAATTAAAATAATTAAATAACCAAATAACTAATTAAAATAACAAACTTTTCAAACAATTCTATTATCTCTGTTTTTGTTGTGTTTTTGAATATTTACTGCGTTTGTTTATGATCATCATCATCTTCTTAGACCTTTTTGGTTATTGGTTGGTTTGGAGCAACGTGTATTTCAATGGTGTTATGATTGGTAAAGAAAGTAAAATTTTGATTGGATAGAACATGATAAATTATAATGGATGAATTATACTAATAGTTCTCATGGTTTGGAGCTCGTGTTACTTTGGTTTATGATTTTTTAATTGTGATATATTTGATCTTGAATTTTGAATATTGTTCCAAATAAGAACAATTAAAGATATCATTATTTAATTTCAAGGCCAAAATTGTCAATTTGATAAAATATAAACTAATTTGACAAAAATAAATATCAACCTTTTTTAAAAAAAATTAAAAAATTATTTTTATCTACCAAAGATAAAATTATATAAAATTAATAAAACTTTTAGACATTTTTTTATCAAATTAATTTTAGGGTAAATTATACTGACACCCCCCTAAGGTTTGGTCCGATTATATTCTATCCCCTGACGTTATGGAAATTACATTCTTACCCTTGTGGTTAATAGTCTCATTTCACAAACTCCTTTACTTATATAAAAGGTAACAACTCCTAGTAGAAAAACAAAAGAAATTATATTAAAAAAAAAAAAGGAAAGGAAAGAAAAAAAAAAAAGACGAAGTAAAACAAAATAATAAAAGAGAGAACGGATGAATTCAATATTTTTTTGATACCAACATTAATTCTGTCTAAATAATTACAATGACGGGGTCATGAGTGTAATTTTCCAAACGTCAAGGGATGATATGTATTAAACTCAAATCTCAGGGGGTGCAAATATAATTTATCCTAATTTTTATTAGTATGTGTTTGGATAATAATCAAGTAATAAGTGGTTGTTATGATTTTAATATATAATTGATATATTTATATATGAAATGTTTTTAGATTTAGATTTTTTTGATTTAATGGATTGGTTTAATAATAATATCAAAATTATCGTCATATTTGACTTTTGAAAAAATAAAAATTAATTTAATGAAAATAAAAATAACCACCCATTACATTTTAAAATTGTAAAAATATTTTTTGACATTTATTTTTGTCAAATTAGTTTATATTTTATCAAATTGACAATTTTGCCCTTAAAATTAAGCAATGGTACCTTCAATTGTCCTTATTTAGAACCAAATTTAAAATTTAGGATCAAATAGAGACTGTTAATGTAATTCGTCCAATTATAATTAGTGAAAAAAATAGTCGCTTGGCACTCCTAAAGTAACTAATAATTTTTTCTCCAAACATAAATGACGTTTATCATAAACTATAATAATAGAGATTTCATTGACTAAACTAGGGGTGCAATTCTTGTACCTGGGCTCAATCTGTATACTTCGTGTTCAACTCTAATGTTGTTTGAAAACTTAATTATTTTAATTGATTTTTTTAATTTTTTTAGTTATTTTATGAAATAGCAAAAATTATGTTTAAGATGACTTTACTGTTTTAGTTGTAATTAAACAGTTGGTTGTGAGAGAAAAAAATGATTAATTATTTTAGTATTTTTTTGTTTTTATTAATTATTTTAGTCAAAAAAAGTCAAAAAAATAACATCCCAAACAGGGCCTAAGTGTATGATTAGTTTGATTTTTTTTTAATTATTTTTAGATAGATTTTTATTTATTTGTAGTGACTTTTTTTAGTACTTTTTAAATCTATCTAATCAAGACATAAAATAAATTGGTTTGAATATTAAAAAAATTACTAAAAATAAACAAAAATTTAAACAAAAAATATATGTGCATTTTTGTTTGTTTTTAAATATGTGCATTTTTGTTTGTTTTTAATAATTATTTTTCATATTTTAATTAAACTTTTTAACTTTTTAAATGTATCTACTCTTGATATATTTAAAATTTTCAAAATAAAAATGACTCAAATATGAAAAACAATTCAGTAAAAATAAATAAAAAAATCTTTTAAAAATAATTTCTGAAAATGTGAATCAAACAAACTTCTTATATTTTTAAATTTGGTTTGAGTTTAGATTGAAATTCAAATATTTGAATTAAATTTGAATGAGTTTGGAAAAAGATGCTAGACAATCCAAAACAAATCAAAATCCAAATTATATATAAAAAAAAAATATTAAATTTACATACAAATTATTAAGGAAAAATTAGTCTAAGGTATCTCCCTCATTTTTAGTAATAGAAGAGATCTACAATATTATTTTTTGATATCTAAGGTCCCTCAACCCACACCCATCTATCACAGAGAAATTTAATATATCTCACGCTCTCTATCTCTCTAAAATGTGAATCAAACAAACTTCTTATATTTTTAAATTTGGTTTGAGTTTAGATTGAAATTCAAATATTTGAATTAAATTTGAATGAGTTTGGAAAAAGATGCTAGACAATCCAAAACAAATCAGAATCCAAATTATATATATAAAAAAAAAATATTAAGTTTACATACAAATTATTAAGGAAAAATTAGCCTAAGGTATCTCCCTCATTTTTAGTAATGGAAGAGATCCACAATATTATTTTTTGATATTTAAGGTCCCTCAACCCACACCAATCTATCACAGAGAAATTTAATATATCTCACGCTCTCTATCTCTCTCTCCCGCTACTCTTCTCTATCTCTCGTCGATATCATCTACCAGTTCAAAACCCTAGACAAATTCTCATTCTGCACCATCATCATTTTTCTCCCATTTTCTCTTCCTCCAAACAAGCCTTCCTCATCACCAATACTCAAAATCTGAGCCAAAGTTGGCTTATCCTCCTCCATTCTCATAATCATGTCGCTTTTCCTCACCTCCTTCTCCCTCCTTGCACTCTCCGTCCTTGCTACCACCTTAGCCACCGCATTTCCTGCAGCAGTCGCCTCGGCTTTCACCATCTTCGACATGTCCTTGTGAAGCTCGGCGTTGAGTCCTTCAAAAGCTTCAACTCCTCTTTGTCTTTTTGAGCTCCTATTCAAGTCTGTTTAGGGTTTCTGCTAAGGTTTTTTGCACTTCGTCGTCACTCTCTTGGGTTTTCGAAAGGGAAAAGTTCTATTGTTTGGAAGCTGAGAATGGCTTCGGAGACGAGTAGAGTTCGCCAGCAAGGAGCTTTTCGCCAAAGATGGCAACAGCTTTTTTGACGGAGGTGAAATGATGCGAGGTGTGGACGGTAGATGAGTGATTCATTGATTGTGATTCACAAATTTTCATCATACATTGATTGTGATTCATTTTCATCGATCAACCAGAACCTTGTTGGATCAGTGGCGAGCACTTTACTTTGGTTGTGTACTATTAGTATATATATTACACTTCTTATTCTTCCTCTTCTATTCAACTGATAAAGGATTTGATTGGTAAAGGATTTGAATTTTCTCTGGTTTCATAGAGAAAGGATTCTACAGAAGTAAACAAATAATCACAGAGAAATTCTTGTTGCGTTGATTGGATTGATTTCTTGATTGGCTGTCAATTGTGTTTGTACCCTCCCAAGTGTTGGTTTTTCTTGTTAGATTCATGTAGGTTAGTGTTTATTGGATGATGAGTTTTTGGTTATTAGAGTTTCTTGTTGACTGAGTAATAATGTTACTTGATTTGGTTTCTTCAATTGGTCATAATTACATCAAATTTCTCTGGTTTAGAATTTCTTTGGACAAAGAATTTCTCTGGGAAAGGCAAAGAATTTTTTTGGGAAATTCCCAGAATTTCTCTGGGAAAGGCATAGAATTTCACTGGGAAGTCCAGACAAATTCTCTAGATCGAATTTTCTCTAGATCCATTTTGAGGGATCTTATACATTATAAAAATATTGTATGTCCTTTATGCTATAAAATAGTAAAGGGACCCTAAAAAAAAATCCCCCAATTATTAATATAAAAATAATTTAGATATTTAGATCATATTCAAGCCTTTTTTGGAAGGTGCTAAAAAGGTTAGTTTATTAGCTTATTAGTAAGGCCATATCACCTTTCTATTTTTTTACATGTCTTTTTGTCACAAGCAAAAAGTCAACTTATAAGTCATATCCAAACAACCTTTATGCATATTCATATACACAAATAATATAAGAGAACGTGAGGAGACTTTGGAACCCAACATAGGTCATGTTTTAATGATCTGAATTATTCATTTTTTAAAACTCTTCGTTTATATTATTAGTATCTATGGAAAAAAGGTTTAGATCTATCCAATATTCATGATATTTTCATTTGTTGTATTTGTCTCTAAAAAAAATGAATGATTAGTAAGTTTTTAAAAACTGAAGATCCTTTTTTTTTTCTAGAGAAACACCATAAAAAAAATTTAAAAAAAATTATAATTATCGAATTGAGCTTTTTTTTCTTTTTGATTATATTTATAAATGATATACATATACTTTTAGGGTAAACTACCAATAGGTCATAATGGTTGTACTTAGTTTTCATCAAGTTCTATTAAAAATAAGTCTTAATAAAATCATTACTAAAAATATTTTTTTGTGATATTTTTTGCATAGTTGCTAAAAATTACCAATTAGTTGACTTTTTTTTCATGATTTTTATAAATTGGTACTAAAATATACAATTACTGACGTTTTTCTGTGACGAATTTTTCAAACTGTCGTTGAAAGTTAAAAATTAGTGATTTTTTTTGTGACGATTTTTCTAAACTGTTGCTAAAACTTATAATTAGTGACTTTTTTTATAATTTTTTTTAAACTATCACT